AAAACACTGTGTTCTTGTTTCCTTAATTAAAAAATATTTTTTTTATTTTTGCTTTTCTAATTATAGTGACCGAGGAGGTGACATATTTTAACTGTTTAAAACTATATATTTTACTGACTTTCAAAAATCGCAAAAAAAAAGAAAACAAAAGAAGAAGAAAAAAAACAAGACCAACAGTTGATTTATCAGAGCTATGAAGTAATGAGGTTAAAACAAAAAATTAAGTTTAAAAAGGGAAATGCGGAAACTTTGGTTTGAAAAGAACAAATAAATATAAAGCGTAAAAAAAAAAAAAGACTTAAAAGACAAAGAAGAAGATAGGAAAGAAGCAAAAATATAGCACCTGCGATAAGCAGGCAGACGGCGACGACGAGCATTTGCCTGGCTGATGAACTAAGTGATGAATCTGTCGAGATGCTGCTACCAACCGACCAACCAATATGAAGAAGGTTGGCGATTTTTGTGGCAAAAAATGTAAGCAATGAAGTTGGACAACCACCGACGGACCCTGTCACACTCAGCTAATGACCACTACAACACCAGGCCGATACCGCCCACCATCTTTAAGAAGAATTTACCAAACTCGTGGCAGTCGTGCGCCAAACCAACAAATTCACGCCCCAAGTTTTTATTGGTTTTTTTTTTTTTTTTCTTCTCCATCATTTGCTTTTTCTTTGCCTATTTTGTCTCTGGTCTAACTCCTTCTGTCTAGTTGTACAAATACAAATACTGTTGTTTTTTATTATTACTAATGTTGTTATTATCATTGTTATTATTATTATTATTATTATTATTATTATTATTAATATTATTATTATTATTATTATTATTATTATTATTATTTTTCCTATTATTATTATTATTGTTCCTATTATTATCATTATACTGTTGTTATTGTTATTGTTGTTATTATTGATATTATTATTCTACTCCTGCTGCTTTCGCTGTTGCCGTTGTTACGGCCACTGAACTTCCTAAACCGTAGAAACAACAATCCTGAACACTCCAAAGTGAACAACAAGAAATAATGAACAAAAATTAATTGAACATATTACATCAATTTCTTCTTCCACTATCTTTTTTGCTACCCAAATGATTATTAGTGTGTGTGTGTGTGTGTGTTTATGTGTGTTTTTTGTTGAAGAAATTTCACTCATTTGTTTTTTTCTTTCTTACATTGTTATATCGTCAATGTTATACAAAGTGTTTCAATAATTGAAGCAAATGACATACAAAAAAAAAAAAAAAATAGCTGGTTTTTTTTTTCTAATCTTGTTTAAACGAATTCTGATTTGTTTTTGTTTCATATTAATACACAACTATAGCAGAACAGTTGAAAGACACCGTAAATCAAACGGATAATAACAATGACAATGACAACAAAAACGGCAACAGCAACAGTAACAGCATTAGTAGTAGTAGCAGCAGCAGCAGCAGCAAAAACAACAACAACAACAACAGCAACAGTAATATCAGCAACAATACAGTATCGGTAACAGATAAACAGTAACACAGTACCAATAGCAACGATAACAAACAGCAAACAGAAAAAAGAAATGCTAACCATTAGCTGTAACATCAATGACGATTATCAGTTATAATTTATCATTCATTCAGTCCTTGATACAAATTTTTTTTTTTT